ATTTCGGCTGGTAGTTGTTGTGCTCAATTACTTTGGATGAAGGCTACTTTGAGTGACTTTGGAATCAAATTCAAGAAAGTGCCATTGCTATGTGATAATGAGAGTGCAATCAAGTTAACCAACAATCCGGTTCAACATGCAAGAACAAAGCACATTGATGTCCGCCATAATTTCATAAGAGATCATCAACAAAAAGGGGACATTTGCATTGAGAGTGTGGGCACCGAAGATCAACTTGCCGATATCTTCACCAAGCCACTTGATGAGAAGAGTTTTTGCAAGCTAAGGAATGAATTGAATATACTTGACTTCTCCAATATGTGTTGATGCACCCTCCCATTATATGACATGCCTCTCCTTCGAGCAAAACAAGGTAAAGTTGATTGACATGTCATCCATCCATTGCTAAGGACTTGTTTAGTGCATTTAGTCATTCCTATCATGTCCTAGGCTCATTCATGAAAATCAAATGAATTTGATGCTTGTATGGTACCACTATTGCTTGTATGTTTGAAATGATCTAGTGGCAGCATATGACATGTTTGTGGGCTTGTAAACCTAGTGTTTGATCTAGAAAATTAGCTATAAGTGTTTAACTCAACATGGTACAAGATAACCCTTATTTGGAGGTGTGAAGAAGCTTGTCCTTGGATCAAACCAAGTTAAATATCTTTTGCAAGTGATCTAGATTGAACCAAATTGGGAAAATGATCCTCATTTCACATAGTTTCACCCCAACCTATCTATCATTTGAGCTCGCCTTTTGTGCTAATTGTTGACAAAGGGGAGAGAAATTCACAAAGATAGTAAGATAGGAGGAGCAAATAAATGAAAACAAATGAAATGACAATGTAAGGGGGCCAATAAAAAATGCACACAAGTAGGTCCAGCGTCCGGTCACCCCGCGTTGTGCCCAGTGAAGGGGTACAACGGCTCTATTTTGTGGGGGCTTCTATTTAAGCCCCATGGCCGGCTCAAGCTCACCCTCTTGGCCATTTTCATTGATATAGCAACCTTGTGAGCTTAGCCAAAGCCCTCCCACTCATCTCCATCATTGATCCATCATCATTGTGAGATTGGGAGAGAATCCAAGTGTATTGCTTGAGTGATTGCATCTAGAGGCAGTTGGCATTCGTGTTGCGCTGTGGATTTCACTTGTTTCTCTTGGTGGTAGCCACCACCTAGACGGTTGGAGCAGCGGTGGAGGATTGGCACGAGTTGGTGATTGTTCGTGGCCATCTCTGGTGATTGTAAGGAGAGTTGTACCTTCCTCGGCGGAGTGCCGAAAGGTAACTCTAGTAAATTGCTCGTGTCATTGAGTTACCTCACTTGTGGGTAGGTTCTTGCGATGTCCAATTGTGTGGACGAGGTTTGTGCAACACCTCTTAGCCGCCGAACCACCAAGTGTTGGTCGACACAACGGGGACGTAGCGTGTTGGCAAGCACGTGAACCTCGGGAGAAAATTGGTTGTCTCTTGCCCTTTGGTATTCTTCCGATGATTGATTTAGTATTCATCTTGTGATTGGTTCACTCCTCTACACGGCGGTATACTCACCCTACTCACTCATTTATATTCTTGCAAACTAGTTGTAGCAAGCTCTTTAGTGTAGCTAGAATTGAGAGCTTGCTTTGAAGTGTAAGTTCATCTAGTGGAGCTCTTTAGTGTAGCAAGTGTGAGAGCTCTTAGTGGGTAGTGACATAGCAAATTGTGTGTTTAGTGATCATAGCAACTAGAATTGTTGGATAGGTGGCTTGCAACCCTTGTAGAGCTAGAGCAAGTTTGCATTTCGCTATTTGTTATACTAATCAAATTGCTCTAGTTGGTTTGTAGATTTTTAAATAGTCTATTCACCCCCTCTAGCCATATTAGGACCTTTCAGCGAGGTGGAGCCAACCTTCGGTCGTTTGGTCAAGAAGTGTAGTCGCGTTCTTGTCTGTTCGAAAGCATCAACGTTTGATGGTTATTAGCTCCTCTTTAGGTACCCCAGTATTCGGTCCCCAACAAAAACCGTAACTGAAGCCGAGAATCAGAACTCTAGAATATAAGAACCGAAGTCGAAGCCAAAAACAAAATAAACCAACTTTTCGGTTTGGTTTTCATTTTACCATGAAAATCTACCCTCACAAGATCAACTTATTGGTAGACAAGTGAAAAAAATTGAAGTTTCTGGAATGTGAATCTCAGTGTCACAATTGAGTTTTCTGAAATGGACAGTCAATGGTCAAGACATTCTGTTAAAGATCATGGAAAATTCATTCAATCAATCTACCTCTGCTCATCTGTAGCTTGTTTCATATTAGTCCAAACTTAAAGCCAAACAAAGCATATGATTTGCTGAAGCACATGTAGAAACCACAAAACAACATACATGTTTGAAACTAAATGGCTAAAGTAAGTGAATAAGGACCCAATGCGAAAACCCAAAAAGAGGAGGTAGCAACTAACCAACTAGTCAATGGTCAAGACATTCAGTTAAAAGATCATGAAATCCATTCAACCAACCTACCTCTGCTCATCTGTAGCTGTTTCATATTAGTCTAAACTTATAGCCAAACAAAGCATATCATTTTCTGAAGCACATGTAGCCGGTTGAAGTTGCCCTCGTTGTCTGCCGGCCAGTACTGGATTCTCTGCCAAAGCACCGGTTCAGGCACAGCGTACCAACAGGCCGCTCTTGGCTGTTGCAATGGAGCAGAACACTAGTGTTTCATCAGGATACCAAGACAATCAGACAACTAACTCTGGTAGGTGAATAACGAACAAAGCTGAACTTCTGAGCGCGGGGATTAATCTAATCTGATGAAGAACTGTTCCCCAAAGTGAACCAAACGCAGAGGAGGAAGAACTCAAGAACCTAGAATCCCTGCTCACTAAGAGAACTTTCCAGCCAAAGAAGTAGCGGTAATCTTGGCCTAATAGCCTCAGTAACAAGGAGAAGAACCCCATCATCGAATTTGAGTGGTTCTTGCAAATTGAAAACAAAGTTTGCATGGTCATCGATAGATTCTATGAACACTTGTATGCCCAGATAAACGCGAGGAGTTGGAATCAGAGGGGACAACGGGCTCACAGGAATGACACGTGGAAGTTCAGGTTGGTCCTGTCTCGGGAGATGACCTTGACCAACCAGCGCAACACCGAGCTCGGGTGGTTGTATTCATAACTGTTTAGGTAACAACTTATCACTATAGTTCTTATCATAACTTTTTTTGAGCTTTTCTAAATATTTTCGTAATTCTCTAATTTTGAAAAGTCACATAGTTATACTAACAACTTTTATGCATAACTTTTTATGGAACAACCTATCACAATAACTTCTCATCATAACTATTTTGACTTTCCTTTTTTAGGAAAAAAATACTTTCATAACTTTCCTCTTTTAGAAAGTTGCAAAATTATGCACATAACTTATATGCATAACTTTTTACGAGACAACTTGTGATCACAACTTCTTAGTCTAAAGATAAGAAAATGGTTAGATTAATATGAAAACATATGAAAAAGCGAAGAAAAAAAAATAAAAAAGAAGAAAAGAAAAAGAAAACAAAGAAATGAGAAAAGAAAGAAAGGAATAAAATGACACAAGAAAAAAAGTGAGAAAACCACTCACGGATGAAATGTCGATAAATTAGACTTACAATAGTAAATAGGGAGGACTTTGAGAGAAGATGTCAGATGCTCCGTCCACTTGCCTAGCAGGGCCCACCATGTGATTAGTGCCTAACGTTGTCTGTCGCGCATACGGAAAGTGTTCACCGCGTTCGAATCAGCCTGTTTAGTTCGCGAAAACTTTTTCCAAAAAGTGTTATAGTAGCCATCACATCGAATCTTGCGATACATGCATGGAGCATTAAATATAGATGAAAAAAAACTAATTGTACAGTTTGGTTGGAAATCGCGAGACGAACGTTTTAAACCTAATTAGTCCATGATTGAACACTAATTACCAAATAAAAACGAAAGTGCTACAGTAGCCCAAATTCCAAAAATTCGCGAACTAGGCCTCACGCGAACGACCGCGGAAATGGAATTGGGTAACGTTGTGACTCGATTACACGTGGGCTGAAACAAACAAGAAACAATGGCATCTATTAACATCTGGAATCAAGTCGTGTTACATTTACCCAAAACCAAACGCTTATCTTAATTAGTCTCTTCCAAGCAAAGCAAGGGCACATGCATTCTTATGGGAGGCGACCTCACGGACCACCATGCGACGTGCATGAGCATGGAGGCCCCGCACATTTGAGACCACGATGATGTTCTCTTTTCATCTTCACATACCGTCCAGGAAGAAAGCGTTGACGGGAGCCCTACGCGAGACAGAAAATATCTCAAAAGCTTCGTGTTAGGTGTGGTCAGACGACGGTGTGGTGGCATATAACGCCTCGACCCGGGCAGACGTAAAAGGATCGATTCGAAGATAACAACTGTCTAGGTTCAGGCTTTTATGCTGGCTCAGCTCTTCTCCAACTTTCGGTATGGCGACAAGCGGTGGTGCTACAGTGTTTCCGTGCAGCTACAGTACCTGAAACTACAGTGCCACGAATTCGGTGCGGCCCAACTTATCCAATGCGCTGGGTCCCACGTCATAGTAAAAATGCGGGACGTTACATGGCCTCCATCTCTGACTCCCATTCTCTGTCCCGGTTGCCGCCTTGCCGGTATTGTGAAAATATCTCAGAAGCTTCGTTGTTGTTGCGTGTGGAGTGACATGATAGTACACTATTGCCAAAAAAAAATAAAATAGAATACTCGTAAATGACAGGGGCCGGGCACAGACCTCAGAGCCAGACCTAGGAGTACTAAATCTACACCACCCACGGAGAATGAGGACAAAACGTCCCTCTCATCCCCAACAGATTACCACTGCTTCTCCAACTCCCAACAGAAGACCACCCACCACGCCCGCACCACCTACTCCTCCTCATCGACGCTAGCTAGCATTATCGCACAACAAGCGAGCGCAGGGAGCTAGCTGAGGCGCGCGAGAGATTGATGGAGAAGGAGCAGTGGCAAGGCATGGTGGAGGCCACTCTGCCGTCGACGCCAGCCTCCGCGGCGTGGCCGCACATCGCCAGCTTCTGCGCGCTGCACCGGTACCTCCCGAGCATCGACGTGTGCGAGCTCGCGGAGGGGGAGGACGGCCGGCCCGGGTGCGTCCGCTACGTGGCCTCGCTCGCGCCGGGCACCACCACCGGGGAGGTCGGCATCTGGGCGCGGGAGAAGTTGCTGGAGATCGACCACGACGCCCGCCGGCTCGCGTACGCCGTCGTCGGCAGCAGCATGGGGCTCGGCAGCTACGTCGCCACTATGAGCATCGTCGTCGGTGACCAGGAGGAGGAGGCAAAGGAGCCGGGGTGCAGGCTGGTCTGGGCGTTCGAGTGCGAGCCCGTGCAGGGGTGGACCCGGGACGGGCTCCTCGGCTACCTCGACGGCGGCGTCAAGGCCATCGCCGCGCGGATCGAGGAAGCCCATGCCGCCGCCAGCGCCAGTGCCGTCGTCGTCGCTGCTTGACAACTCCACCTGCGGGAGGAATCTCAACAGCCGCCAGATGCATTTCTGCATTGATTATTATATTACCTCGTCAAACTAGTTAATGCATTGTTAATCGCAACGATTGCCACTAGCTAGCTAAGCTTGCTTGCTTGTCTGTCTCTCCTTCATTGTCTACCGGATTTGTATGTCGCGTCGCGTCAGAATGTCAGCTGGTTAATGCATTGTTAATCGCAACGATTGCCACTAGCTAGCTTGCTTGCTTGTCTGTCTCTCCTTCATGAACGAAATTAACTTTGAAAGGGACTCTGTTGTTGGCTCCTGCTTGTTTTATTCTGGCGATGTCCATATCGTGGTTGGCACATGTCTACTCGCTCGGATGTGCAAAAAGCAGAAGATATTGTGATGAACATGGTTGAACAAGATGCACCATGTTCCAACGTCCAACCACGTGTGAGAACATTACTTCACCCTCGGATGCCTCATCTCGCGCGATTGAAAGGTTTTGTTCAATACGCTGAGCTGGAAGATGTGGCACGCGATGTGCCGATTCATTTGCGACTACTGGACCACGGAAATCAAAGAGACTTGTTCAATTCTGATTGATGGATCGACTTGCGTATATGTTCCCTTCCCACTTGCTGCAAGTATTGTCCAGCAAGCTATGAGAGGCAGAGCTACGTGAGAATCCGAACAAACATGTTACCGGCCGGACAATTTATTCGTTGGCACGTGCCGAGGCACGGAAGCACATGTCAAATTGGTCCATCGCCTGTTGAAAACAAACCGGAGAAGAAGCACATAGCTGATGTAATAAGCTGAATTATTTGCTCAACGGCAATTCGTACTTTCTCCGGACATGAAGATAAAGCCTCTATGATTTGGAATTCCTTCAAGGATCGGTTGGGTAAGAGTGAGTTCAACAGTACCTTGTTTGATCTTAACCAATACTTTTAGACCTCAGATGGTTTTTTCTCAACTCAACTAGTTGAGCCTTTTGAAAAGACTGAAATTGATCAAGTTGTTAAGTTGCTGCCTTCTGACAAAGCCCCGGAGCCAGATGGTTTTAACACCGATTTCATAAAATGAAGTGTTGGCCAATAATCTGTGATGACTTTTACATTCTTTGTCAAGCTTTTTATGATGAGAATATTTGTTTACAGAGTATCAATGGATCTCTTATCACTTGAATACCCAAGGATGATGCTGAAACAGTTTCAGATTATAGACCTAGCTCTCTTTTAAATAATTCTATCAAGATTATCACTAAAATTTTGGCCAACAGGTTGCAACTAGTCCTTCTAACTCTTATTCATAAAAACCAATATGGTTTCATCAAGCTCAGATGCATTCAAGATTGCCTAGCTTGATCTCTTGAATATTTGAATATGTGCTACCTTTCTAAAAAAGAGTTGGTTATTCTAAAGCTTGACTTTGAAAAAGCTTTTGATAAAGTGGAACACCCTTTGATGCTTCAAATCATGGAAAAGGGTTGCCACCTAAGTGGATTAATTGGATGAAGATGGTTTTTGGGTCTGGTACTTCATCTGTCTTACTTAATGGGGTACCTGGTAAAGTTTTTCATTGCAAAAGAGGGGTAAGACAAGGTGATCCCTTATCACCACTTCTCTTTGTGCTAGCTGCCGATTTCCTACAATCTCTCTTAAATACAGCTTGTACTAATGCTGACCTCAACCTTCCCCTGCCCCTTTCGCATGATCAAGATTTGCCCATCTTACAGTATGCAAATGATACTTTGATTTTCATACAAGGAGATGTTTCCCAATTGGTTTTTCTGAAGAATTTGTTGCAACATTATTTTGGGGAATCAACTGGATTAAAAGTCAACTTTGAAAAATCTTTCATGGTGCCCATTAATGTTCCAGAAGATAGATTCCATATGTTGGCTCGTCGATCTCCGGTACGGAGATATCCAACCACTCACTAGTGTTGCCGAGCACACACTAGCGATGCCGACTATGAACTGTCGTTGCTGACCACACGCTATGGCTAGAGGTAGAAGAAGGGAGGGAGAACAGAGCATACACACACAACAGAGACACCAGCGTTGGCCGGAGCTCTGTATAGGAGATGGTAAATCTGAACTCACTCTTTTTACTGAGTTGCAGTGGCAAACTATATATACAACTCTATCCATCTAACACTAGTACAGACATGTCAGGCTACCATGCTGCTACAGTGACTAGATGTGACAGCAGGGCTGACTTTGGCGCATGCCCCTGCTGTGGCTACAGTGCGGCAGGTGAGCTGTTCGGCGCCCGCCCCTGCATCGGCTATTGTGCAACAGCAGGGTGCCCTTTTCGGTGCCGCCTTCCTCTGTTGCGCATTCATACAAGGGATGCAGTAGATTATCTAACAATTCTTTCCCTAATCCTGCTGCTAACCCTAGAACCCCCTCCATGCCGATCATCTTCTTCAGCTCCGTGATCCACCATTCCCTTGACGTAGCACAACAGCCGCTTCACCGCAGCCCAGTGATCCTCTCGAGGATCCTCCATAAAGCGACTGACATAGCCCATGGCGAACGCAATGCCCGGCCTCGTGTGGACTAGGTAGCGCAGACCGCCAACGATGCTCCGGTAAAGTGTTGCATCCACCTTCACCGCGGTGCTGGCCTTCATCAGCTTCAGCCGCTCCTCCATCGGAGTCACGCATGGCTTGCACTCAGCCATGCCGCTCTGCTCCAATAGCTTCGAGGCATACGCGCTCTGACCGAGCGTGAGTGCCTCTTTTCCCTGTCTCACCTCAATGCCGATGTAGTTGGAGAGCGCCCCGAGATCGCTCATTCAAAAACGAGCCGCCATCGGTGATGATCAAGTCATCCACATACACGCCGACGACGAGCTCCTCCTTCCCCCGTCGCCGCGTGTAGAGCGTGTGCTCAGTTGCGCACCTCATGAACCCAAGCTCGCCTATTGTGGCGTCAAGCTTGGCATTCCACGCTCATGGGGCTACCGTAGCCCGTAGAGCGCCTTGCGCAGTCGGAGCACCCTGTGCTCTTCTCCCTTGACGGCAAAACCCGAAGGTTGTCTGACGAAGACCGTCTCTGCTAGTCCTTTGCTGCTGCCAAGGCTAGTAGCAAACGGACAGACTCCATGCACGCTACTGGCGCAAAGACTTCCTCAAAGTCGATGCCCTCACGCTAAACAAAGCCTTGGGTGATTAGGCATGCCACAAACTCAGTGATGTCACTTGGAGGTGAGGCGAACTCAATCGGCGTCGATGGAGTTCCCTATTCCGTCGGAGTGCTCGGCACAACACCTGGAGTGCTTGGCATACTCTACTCCTAGACCGCTCATCACTACTCCTGGAGTGGTCTGCATCCCTCCTGAAGTGCTCGGCACCCGTCTTGCAGTAGTCGGCACCACTGCAAGACCCCTCAGTTCCGCTACGGGAGTGTTTGGCACTCGTCCTCGAGTGGTCGCAACCACTGCAGGACCTCTTGGCTCCACTCCCGGAGTGCTCGACACCCCTCTTGGAGTGCTCGGCACCTCCCCGGGAGTGCTCGGCTCTGTCACTAGAGTGCTCAGCACCTCTTCCCTAGCATCTCCACCACCGTGAATGACCAAATGCTTGACGACGAAGGTGCTGGTGAAGCCGCTAGCTTCCCCCATGCTCGGACTGTTCTAGTCCTAGGCCACCTTCTCATCGAACGCGACGTCGCGTGAGACAAGCACCTTGTCTCCGCATGGGTCGTAGAGCCGATATGCCTTGGTACCCTCCGTGTAGCCTAGGAACACAATCGGTGTGCTCCTGTCCTCCAGCTTGGTGAGGATCAACTTCGTCTTCCTGACGTGGTCAATGCAGCCGAATGTCCGGAGGAAGGACACGCTCGGCTTGCGTCCATGCCAAGCCTCAAATGGTGACTTGCCCTTCAGGGCCTTGGTGGGAGCACGGTTGAGGATGAACACCGCCGTGGTCATCGCCTCACCCCAGAACCTTGCCGTCATTCCTTTGGCCTTCATCATGGATTGAGCCATGCCGACCACCGTCTAGTTCCATCGCTCCACCACGCCATTCTATTGTGGCGAGTACGACGCGGTGTGGTGTCGCACCACACCCTGATCCACGCAGTATGCAGCGAACTCCACCGAAGTGAATTCGCCGCCACGATCAATCCTCAGCACATGGAGCTTCTTGGCGCTCTCGGCCTCCGCGCGCATCTTGAACTTCTTGATCGCCCATGCCGCTTCGTCCTTGCTCATCAGGAGTTGCAGCCACATATAGCGACTGCAATCATCCACGAGCAGGAGGAAGTACCACCGACCACCGTTTGTGTGTGGCGTGATTGGCCCGTAGAGGTCACCGTGGACGAGCTCGAGAGAGTCCATCGCGCGATACTTGGCCACCTTTGGGAACGGTAGCCTTCTCTGCTTCCCGGCCAGGCAGCTATCACACAGCTCGCCTTCCGTGCTCGATGTGGGGTAGCCCTCGAACCATCTTCTCTAGCCGACCAAGCGCGTCAAAGCTGAGATGTCCGAACCGGGAATGCCACAGCCATGGTTCCTCGGTGTGCCTTGCCGCCAGGCACACCGGCTGCTCTACCTTCAAGTCGAGCAGGTACAACTAGTTCTTGGACCTCTTTACCTTGGTAAGAAGTCGCTGTTCCCGGTTCCTGATCCTGAGGACTCCATCCTTGATCAGTACCTCGCTACCATGCTCATCTAGCTAGCCAATGCTGATGATGCTTGAACGCAGCTGCAGGATGTAATATACATCCATTAGCGCGCGGTGCTCGCCATTCTAGCACCTAGAGATGTTGGTGCCACGCCCTCGGATTGCCACCCTTGAGCTGTCACCGAACTTCACCATACCTGTCACATCGTCGTCAAGCTCGGAGAAGGCTGCCTTGGAGCCCATCATGTGGTTGCTGGAACCAGAGTCTAGATACCACCGCTGCTCCTGCTCGCCGCCCACACATCCGAGGTGGACTTGGGCACGCGGTTCGTCGAGGTTGACAGTTTTCAGGGCCTTCCTAGGTCCTTCCACCGTCATCACCT